TTTTTTCTTTTTTTTTTTTTTTGACCTTGGCACTATGGACATTTTAGTTTGAATGGTTCATTTTTGTGGAGGACTGTCCTGTGCATTTTGGGGATGTTTGGCAGCCTCCCTGGCCTCTGGATGCCAGAAGCAGTTCCCCAGCCCTGTTGATAAAAAGAACTCTCCAAACATTGTGAAATGTCCCTGGAAGCAAAATTTTCTATGGTTGAAAACCACTGTTCTGAACATATTTTTAGGCTTGAAGCAGAAACTGTACTGGCACCTTTGATCTATTCCTAGTTCAGTGCCTTGCATATATTAACAGTTCAACAAATATTTGTTGAATATGAATAAATAAATTATGATTCTTCTAAAAATAATTATTAAATTAAATATGATGAAAATTTATAAATGTATAAATATGTACGTGTGTGTGTGTGTGTGTATCTCGAAGATTTTTTTCTGGATCAGTACCTTGCTTCTGTAAAAATGTATTGGATATAAAATTCAACCATGAATAAACAGTGTAGTTTCTGACAAAACACTATAAGGGGGCTTTATTTGTGTAGAACAAAACACTATAAGGGGGCTTATTTGTGTGTTCCTTCATTATTTCAGGTCCCTTTTACATAGTCTTGGTGTTAGCAACGAGGGTGTACTTTTTAAAAAATAAATAGACTGAATCTTTTCAGCAGTTTTAGGTTTGCAGCAAAATTGAACAGTGAGTACAGAGAGCTCCTCTTCACTCCTCCACATTATAACATCTTGCATTAGTGTAGTAGATTTGTTAAAATTTATGAAGCAATATTAATAACTAACTAGAGTTCATAGTTTACATTAGGGTTTACTCTTAGTGTTGTACAGCTTATGGATTCTGATAAATATGTAATGATGTGTATGTACCATTGTAATATCACACAAATTCATTTCACTGCCCTAAAAGTACCATGCTTTTCCTATTCATTCCCCCAGAACCACTAACAACTACTGATTTTGTTGTTTCCGGTTTTGTCTTTTCCGGAATATAGTATTCTTGGAATCATACAAACAGTAGTCTTTTCATATTGCCTTCTTTCACGTAGCAATATGCATTTAAGATTTGCCTGTTCTTGGTGTTGGCAACTAGATTTTAAACTCAATTCAGAGTTCTAGCTTCTGTTTTTTGGGACACTTTTAACTAACATAAAAAATGTGCTATATTAATTGTACATCTCTATATAACCCACACCTGTAAGTTAAAATGAATTAGACACCTACTTTATGTGAGACTGAAAACTGTAAAACTTCCTGAAGAAATTATAGGAGAAAAGTTTTGAGGCCTTGGTTAGGCAAAAATTTCTTAGATATGACACCAAAAGCACATTCTATAATTTTTTTTTAATGATAGATTTAGAACGTAACACTCTTCAAAAGACCCTTCAAATAAAAGTGCAAGCCACAGACTAGAAGAAAATGTTTAAAAATACTTGCCTGTAAAGGACTTGTATCCAGAATATATAAAGAATTCTAAAAAAATCAATAATAAGAAAGCAAATGATGAATTAAAGAAATGAACAGAAATTTTGAATATTTTCCAAAGAAAATATATGGACAGCAAATAAGTACATGAAAAGATGGCCAACATCTTAGTTATTAGGAAAACCCACATTAAAATCACAAAGAAATACTAAGGCCATTTAAAATGGCTTTAAGAAACCACTTTATAAATCAAGTACTGGTGAGAATGTGTAGCAACTAGGAATCTCATACATTGCTTGTGGGGATGCAGAATGGTATGACCATTTTGATAGTTCAGCAGTGTAGAGACGGTTAAACAAAAAACCTTCAGCAGTTCCCTCTCAGATACTTAGCCAAGAGAAATTAAAACTTAATACTAACATTAACATGAAGGATGGGGCTGTAGCTCAGTGGCAGAGTGCTTGACTTTCACATGTGAGACACTGAGTTTGATCCTTAGTGCCACATAAAAATAAACAAATAAAGTAAAGGCATGCTGTCCACCTACAACTACAAAAACAAACAAACAACAACAATAAAGAAACATTGCTGGTGGGACTGCAAATTGGTGCAACCAATCTGGAAAGCAGTATGAAGATTCCTCAGAAAACTTGGAATGGAATCACCATTTGACCTAGCTATCCCACTCCTTGGTTTATACCCAAATGACTTAAAATCAGCATATTACAGTAATGTAGCTGCATCAATGTTTGTAGCAGCTCAATTCACAATAGCTAAACTATGGAACCAACCTAGGTGTCCTTCAATAGATGAATGGATAAAGAAAATGTGGTATATATACTCAATGGAATATTACTCAGCTTTAAAGAAGAGTGAAATTTTGACATTTGCCAGTAAATGGATGGAGTTGGAGAATATCATGCTAAGTGAAATAAGCCAATCCCCAAAACCCAAAGGCCAAATGTTTTCTCTAATATGAGGATGCTAATTCACAATAAGGTGGTGGGTACTTGACAAGCATAGCGTTACCTTAGATTAGGTAAGGGAAATAATGGGAGGGCAGAGGAAGGGATATGAGGATAGGAAAGATAGTACAATGAAACAGACATTATTACTGTATGTATATATGTGACTGCATGACAATATGATTCTGCAACATGTACACTCAGAAAAATGAGAAATTATATCCCATCTATACATGATATATCAAAGTGTATAAATGCATTCTACCGTCATGGATAACTAATTAAAACAAATAAAAATTAATTTTAAAAACCTTTACATGAATAGTCACAGAAATCTACTCATAATTGCCCAAAACGGAAAACAAGTGAGATATCTTTGAGTAAATCCATGATGTGGTTTGTCCAATCAATGCAATACTCAGCATCAAAAAAAGAAACAACATTAAAACAGCATTTAAGAAAGAATGTGCAACTATGTGGATGAATCTGAAACTCACTCTGCTAAGTCAAAGAAGCCAAATAATAGTGTAGTGTCAACCTAAATAAAGCAATCAGGGAGAGATTTCCCCCCCCCCAAGAATTCTGATTTCTTGTGGTGGGGGGGGTATAGCAGGTTACCACAATGGGAATATTCATACCTTAGTACACTGTGTGCATATTCACAGAGATTGAGGCAAGAGGGAAGGTTTTTTTTCTTTCTAATACACGAAATGAGGATGATCACATCAAATATTTGAAACCATAATCCCTGGCACTATGATTAATAACATGAGTGGTGATAGTCCAAGGTTGCATAGACATTACCAGGTAGAAGACCTAGTAGAAATTTTCATGTAGGGTGACCTCTATGCCAGTTTGTAATCCTGATAGTGTTTTGTGATTCAAGTTTAAGAACCCTTTCTTCATAAACTCCAGGCTTTGTGTATTTGTTTATTTTATTCTGTAGGGTTGGCACAAGTAACTCCATTTTTATTCTGATAGCTTTCGTATTTATTCCACAATAATCAACTGCAAAAGGTGCAGTCAAAGAGAGGGTACACTTTGGAGAAATAGAATGAAAAATTTAGTCTTCCTTCAGTGGCTTTTAGGAATTTTTGAACTAGTTCTAAAATATGGGTCCTTTTAAATAAGAGGTTCGCTATTGTGAAGGATGCAGTTTGTTTTCCATCAGGGGTAATTGTGTGAACGCTGGCCCAGAGCGGAGGCAGTCTGACCCTGTACGTTGCTTCCAGGGTAACAACCCTGTCTTACTTGTCCAGTTTAAACAGCATCCGCTTCCTTTTACAGAACAAGATGCAGCTCTTGAAATGCTAGGCTGCACATGTTCCCATATTAGCTGAAAGAAATCATTTTTGAGTGTAGAAAGACTAATTATGCATGTGCTTCAGTTTCTTCATCTTTAATATGAAGATGATAATACCTACTTCAGAGAGTTGGTGAGGTTTAGAGATAATTCATGTAAATGGATTAGAAATGTGCACGACATCAAGTTTTAAGTGCTCAGTGCATCTTAGCTATTACTATCTAATCCATAATGTACCATAAGTAGCGTTCAGGCATCTAGCAAAATTTAATTACCATATCAGAAAAAGGTTTTGAGAAAATGTATTCAGTTATTTCAAACCAAGATGCTAAAAATATACTTGCTCTCACCTCCTTTCTGTCTGTACTTGAGTTAGAAGAGGGTCAAGGAAATTATTACTCTTTTAGTTCCCAGGTACTGGTGGGCACCAAAGGCAGTTGGAAAAGATCCAGTAGATCAGGGTGGGGAAGGGAGACACCATTAAGAGTCCCGAGCTGAGGGTCAAGGCCAAAAACAAAGGCCAAAGAATCAGACATTGAGGATCAAGGACCTATGGAGCCAAAACATTCTTGGGATATTCTCTGGGTTTAGGACTATCTGCCAAATTACTTCCCCTCTCATGTTCACTGCTAATATCAGTGTTAATCCATCCAGCAAGTAGTGCAGCTTCTTTGAAAGTTACCCATGGGATTTAATGTTACCTATGTTTGTACAGCCCAGATGTGAAAATTTCCCCTATCTTGTTTATTCTTCTTGTTTTCTATTTAGATTCTTTCTGTTTTGGGTGAGTTGTTGGGTATTTAGGGGATGCAAATAATATAGGAAATATTATATTTAAATAGTTTTCTAAAATATTATTTTAATCATTCCTTAATGCATTCAAAATTTGCCAAAAGGATGTGCTTTTTTTTAAAAAAAAATAGAGTACATATACAATAGTATATAGGTATGGATTGAGACCATTGAGTCTATTACACTGCTGCTTTTAAACTCTGAATCATAAAACCTGGGAATAATTTGTAGAATTATAATTCTTACCATTAATTTTAAAAATCAAGCTCAGTGCTTCTTCAGATTCTCTTCTAAAAATTAATTTATATGAAAACTGTTTTAAAAATCAGTTGTACATACCTACAAGTTTGTATGCTCATTTCATTTGTGAGTCCATAAAGATAATGAAAGTGATCATTTAAAACAGAAGATTGGGACAATTTTTTTAAAAAAAAATGTTTTAGGAAAACTTTTTGCAGCCCAAAACTTCAGTGTCATATGCATCTTGAAATACTCTTTTTTAGCTGTGCAATGGAGGATCCGTGACTGATCTTGTGAAAGGATTTCTGAAGAGGGGTGAAAGAATGAGTGAGCCTGTAATTGCCTATATTTTACATGAAGCATTAATGGTAAGGCAATTTAAATTCCTTGTGCATTAATTATGAGGCTGTTTTAATTAAATAAAAAGTGTAGGTCCTATTTTTAGAAAAATATTTCTACATTAGTATTTATTGATGCAAAAGTATATGCAAAGTCTGAAATGCTTTTCATGATTAATTGCTATTTGCCATTAGAAATTGACTTTCCTTGTAGCAACAGGATCCTGAATTCTGATTTCCTGTGTTTCTTAGACCACAATAGTGATGAAAATAGAAAGTGTATTTTTTTAATTAATACGTTTTCATTTGCCATCACCTTAAATAAATATATAAAAAAAATTCCCTCTATTGAAATCAACACATTTTCTAATCAAATGTTTAGTAAAAGCTAAGGAACATGCTTTGGTTTTGTAAATTTTTATATAATCCAAAGTGTAAAAGATGATCTTTGATTTGACTAACTGAAGGTAAAATAGTGAAGGGTGAATTTTAATTTTTTCATGTATTTACTGTTTATTTTTCCCAAATGTATTATATGAAAAATATGTTTTGGTTTGATGCCTTTTAAAAAAAAAAAGAGTCATTATTATTTCTCACCTACTAGGGACTTCAGCATTTACATAACAACAAAACTATCCACCGTGATATAAAAGGAAATAACATTCTGTTGACTACTGAAGGTGGAGTTAAGCTGGTAGATTTTGGTAAGTTTTGTTTAAATGCATGAATTTGGGTTGCACAGTAAACTGTATGATATGATTTTATCATTTCCCAACCATTTTTCTTTTTCCATACATTGAAAATAGGGAAATATAAGTATCTCATTGGGTAAGAAATACATAAATAATTAGGCAATTGAGAGATTTCCAGCTCTCAGGTCACCCAGCTTAGTCCCACATAACACTAATGTAGTAAAATGTATAATTTATTCTACAAAACAGATAGTGTCCCACACAACCCGATACTATAACAGTATCTCCTGGCCTTTATTATTGATGGCTTGATAAATGGGCACATGTCCAAATCCAGGATTTTTGAGATGTGAGGTGATATCATTAAGGGTCATCTGGGGATATTTTCTGCCTCCTAAGAAGGAGACAGGGAAAGATGGTCTCTGTCTTCCCTGATACTCTGTGTGTTTACCATATTGCCTGAAACTGGTCTGGTCTCCTTGTGACCTTATAAAGCACTCCATCCTAAGAAAGGCAGAGCTGAGAGAGTGAAGAATGGGGTTCCCGGTGACATAATCAAGTCACTAAGTCAATCGACTTTAGAGCCTACCCTTTCTCTGGACTTGTTGATGGGTGAAATGATAAATTTCCATATTTACTAAATTTCCATATTTACTAAGCCAATTTGAGGTTTCTGTGTTACAGCCAAAGGCGCTGTTGTTGATGCATGCACCCTCATCTGGGTAGCTGCTTTTCATCTGTGAAGGTGCTTTCTTATACTTCCCCTTGTTTGACCCTGAACTACACAGCAATCCTCTGAGAGTGGATGGCAATATTCCAGGACACCTCAGTGTCCTGTAGGCTTTCCTCCCCTTCCCTTCCTCTGTACTCTGGCTGGGTAAGGTGTCCCACCTTGTGCTTCCATACCCTGTATATTTCTCTATTCTTAAATTTACCACTTAGAACCATAGTTTCCTATTTGGTCTTATAAGTAAAAAAATAAATAGGGATGGACAGGGTCTTTGAGAAGCAGAACCCTGTCTTTATCTGTTTCGTAGACCTACTGCTTTGGGTTTAGCAATTCATTGGCTGTAAATTGAATGAGCAAACCTCCCTTCATTTTGCCGAACAGAGGGAATTTAATTAGTTTTAGATTAATTTCAAATTGTTTTAATATCCAAGTACCCAGTACTTTAGTATTTGACTTAGCCCAGGAATGAATTTCAGAGCAGGTTGAGAAGACTGATGAGAGCATGTCCTTCAAACACACATCAGATTGTGCATTGTTTTTCTGACCTGAACTATTGCCAACTAATGAACAGCGGTGAGCTTGACAATAAATACCTGATTTATAACTGGGGTGCAACCAGTCTGTGTTGCTAGTTGAGTTGAGAGCCATATGCTTGAACAATCTGGCTGGGTATTAATAAGGACTTCTGTTTGAAATTTAAAAACAGCAACAAAATTTAAAAATTTTTAAAAAACAACAAAACACTCCTCACCGCTGCATAAGCAGGGTCATTATTCTCCTCAGAGAATAATTTTGGCTCTACTCAAAGACAGTTTCAAATGGAGACCTTGATAGTTAACTTAAAAATCTCATAATTCCCTTGTTTTTTTAAAAATGGTTACAATGAATAGAGACTACATTAAAAGTTGCTCAAACAAGTGTAAGTAAACAACTTTTCTAGCCATTAAAGAAAAAAAATTGGTAAACTAGTATCTTTGAGAAATTATCTTCCTGGGATATCTTCTAAAATAAGTTAGATTAAAAAATAAGCCTAGATAATAAATAGGGCAATTTTTTATAAGACACTTTAATAAAAATCATTTTAGGTTGGATAGCTAACAAAATGACAGCACTGGTTTTAGATTATTCGGTTTGTTGATTTCTTTTCAGCAATAATTAGAAATGAGAGCCATTTGGCCATTTAAATGCAAGTCTGGCATCGAATACTAACATTTCATATAAAGCATTATTTATATTCTGTTCTCCGTGGTAAGAGGACATGGGTTCAGTTCACCTTAAAAATGATTAGTGGGGCCAGGTGTGGTGGTGCATGCCCGTAATCCCAGTGGCTCAGGAAGCTGAGGCAGGAGGATCATAAGTTCAAAGCCAGCCTCAGCAATGGTGAGGTGCTAAGCAACTCAGGGAGACCCTGTCTCTAAATAAAATACAAAGAAGGGCTGGGGATGTGGCTCAATGGTTGAGTGTTCCTGAGTTCAATCCCTGGCACCCCCACCAAAAAATTGATTAGTGGGTTATTATCTGAATTAAAACCTGAGGAATGTGGATGTCTGCGTACATTAAGAAACTTTTTTGAGGGTAGAAAGAATACCATGTGGTAAACCACAAACTGCAGAATCTAGTAATCAGTGCCCTCATTTTATGTTCAAATCAAGTGTTCAGAAAAGGAAACTGCTGGCAGTAAAGAGTTTTGTAATAAATTTTACTTTAATTCCTCATGTCATAAAACATGAGGAATTAAAGTATGGGACACTGAAGATCTTAGAAGCCTGTCAGGCATCTCGTACTCGGAATTCCCAAAATTAAACCCTACCACCTCAACCCATTGCTAGAAATCTGTTATAGATCAAGAGTTTCCTGTCTTAGAAAAAGTCACCTGCATCTACTCATTGCTCAAGCCAGAACTTAGGGTCATGCTTAAGTCTTTGCTTGTCCTTACCTCCTAGTATATAGCTAATCACAAAGCTTGTCTCTGTTAGGTCCTCTGCTTGTGCTTAGTCCTGCTTGTCACCTCTTGCCTGGGCCCCTGAAATTGACTTCTCTGAATCCTTACATCTAGTCTTATTTTCTTCTCTCCAGTCCATTCTATAACAAGGGGGAGTCTTTCCACAAACATATCTGATTCTCCCACTTTATTTTTGTTATTTCATTCAATGACTTCCTCTAGTGACATAGAATAAGCTCTTTATTTTATTAATTTTAAAAGATTTTATTTTAATTGTACAAATTTGCAGGTACAGTTTTGTTTTGTTTTGGTATTAGGGACTGAACTCAGGGAGCACTCAACCACTGAGCCACATCCCCAGCCCTATTTTGTATTTTATTTAGAGACAGGGTCCCACTGAGTTGCTTAGTGCCTCGCTTTTGCTGAGGCTGGCTTTGAACTCACAATCCTCCTGCCTCAGCCTCCTGAGCTGCTGGGATTACATGTGTGTGCCACTGTGCCTGGCTCTGCGGGGTACAGTTTTAATTACATGTATACAGTGTGTAATGACCAAATCAGAGCAGTTGATATATATATATATATATATATATACATGAACACATACGGATTGAATCAAAGGAATTGGCGTTTCCATCTGCTTATCATTACTTTGTGTTTGGAGTCTTTGATCTCTCTTCTTAGTTATTTGTAATATATACAACAGATTATAGTCCCTACAATGTGATAAATAGAATACTAGAACATATTTCTACCTATGTTTGGTAATCACTATTCATCCTCCCTCTATCTTATTCCTACCCTCTCTTCTTAGCCTCTAATAATCCTTATTAAATGTTCTGATTAACTGTAAGAAAGAACATTCGATGTTTGTCTTCCTATGTCTGATTTATTTCACTTACTATAATGACCTC